GTCTTGTTGGACCAAAGGTTTCCCACTTGCAGTGTGCGTCAGGATTTCCTCGCCTTTATCTAGACTGTAGACTTAAAACACTATGTTTGTGCTGCACCAAACCAATCATTTCCTCCAATTTTCTACTAATTTTTAAAAAATAAAACAAAGAAGCAGAGCATGCAATTATTTCTATATCTCAGTCCAAACAAATACTGCTGTGCAGACAAAGGACATGGCTGAAAGGGACCCACCAGCCACCAGGCTGTGCTACTCTGCAGTGGGTGACGCTGTCAGCTTAGGCCTGACATCCAACTCTAATGGAGGTGAGGCTGTTTCAGGGGATGTATATTCTGCACAAAAATCTAAGTTCTTTAATATTCAGCTCTTTAAAAGGTTGGTTTCATGTGTGAAAGCAATTTCTAAAACCACAGATATGTTTGGCAAGGGAAGAAAGAAAAGACTTATTCTGATAAAAGGCCTCTCCTCCCGCAAAGTAGATGAATTTTCTCATATTCAGAAAGTGTGTGTATGTGTGCGTGTGTGGGGGTGAGATCATGTAAGCATCCTTAAAATTTTTGTTTCTCATGCATTAAATAAACATGCCTGATTTTACAATTAATTACAATCCCTCTTTCTCCAGGCACTTCAGATTCCTTTGGTCTTCCGCATGCATTTACTCTCAGGAAAGATAATAGATTTAAGAATGAATTCTTATAAAAGTCATCAACATCACACTGAAGATATTCCAAACCCAGCTAACCATCGAATTCTGTCCCACTTACCCTGAATCACACCATCCAGTGAAAGGCAATGTCTTGATGGATCATTCATGGAAAACTAAAGTAATTACCATCATTCTAATATTCCTATTTAAATGCATGAAAAACTGATTAGCTGAAGGCAGCCCTATATATAGCAGAAATGGCATCTTCTTAATATTTATGCTAATGTGAAAGACATTTCACACAAAGGTTAGAGGTGACATATGGGTAAGAAATGATCTTAACATACACACTTATTTACTTACAATAATGCACAACATGAGTATGACTTCCTGAGAGGGATTTAACAGGCACAGAAGACGAGATATGGAGGAATAATTCAATATGAAAATAATACACATGCATGGGCACAAATATATGCATTCACAAGAGAGGTTCTTAGAGGGTTACCCAAGGCTCACGCAGAAGTGGAGCATGCATATTTCCAAACTTCATCTTCACAAGTAGATTTCATTCCTTCATCCTGAAATGGTCACTTTTTTTTTTTTTTTGTTCAAAGAGAATTTTGATGGAAATTGGGAAAAGGTTTAATGATTTTTGTGACTCTGAGTGTTACCTTGCCTCTAAAGCAACTGATAAGTGTTAAAATGCCATTTCAAACTGCAATCACTGTCTGGAGTGAGGGATGCAGAACTCGCCTCTAAATTCCATGTGATTTGCAGATTTCATTTCCACGTGGCTAACCCACAGGCTGAATCCGGTTTTCTGCCAGCTCTCTAAGTACGCTCCAAGGTGAGACACCACAGAAACTGTGCATAGCAATGAACACATCGCAGGCTGTGCGTGAAGAACAAGTAAAACAGGAAATTATCATGAACTGCAGACTCACACAAGCAGGCTAAGAATGGGTTACAGCCGAGAACGGATTTCAAACAAGCCTCTGATTTAATGACAACCTAAGCCAGAGCCTGATTGAGGGCAATCAAATGCTTCTCTCTTTATCTGCTTCTGACTCACTTTTTATACCAAAAGAAAAACTGCTGTTATAACGTCAGCCGTATAAGGCGGCAGCAAGCTTTGAAAATAGAAAGCCTGTTTCCATGAGCAATTACGACACAATACACATTTGGGCTGAAAGCGTGGTCAAGTGAACAGGTAACCAATAGCAACTTCTTACTCAGCAGGTCGGGGCAAACTCAACTGGAAGGATGGTATTTGCTTTCCATGGCGCATTCTAATTGTGCCTGCCCTCACCGGGAGAATTGGGGCCCACAAGGAATATGACTTTCAGATTTCAAAATGGAATCAACAGCCAGACACATCACCCACTGGGAAAGAGGCAGTACAGAAAGAGACCCTCAGTGAGGCCTCTAAGATTGTCATCTTTTTTTTCCGTTTTTGATTTATAGCGAGAGCTTGCCATTCATCCTCATCTTCCACTTTCTAATCACACCCCTGCATGCCAGCTCCGGCACTCACTCCCTGAATCATGTATTTTTTTTTTCATGAGTGTATTCCTTGTAGTATTTTACTATCCTTTATTCAGTGTTTTTTTTTTTTTTTTTTTTTTTTGGTTTTCTGATGGTTTCTGAGGTGCTTGCTGTCTTTTCAGGGAATCTCTGGCATGGTGGATTCTTTTTGTTCTTAAAATGAAAAGAGTACTCATTGACTAGAGTCAGAAGATTATAGTTTCCTTTTATAAATTAGTTAATTAATTAATCAATTAATTTTTATGGGCATGGGTGTTATGGGTGTTTGACCACATGTATGTCTGTGTAGCATTTCCATGTCTGGATCCAGCAGAGGTCAGAAGTGGGTTCTGGATCTCCTAGAACTGGAATTAGGTTGTGAGCTGCCATGTGGGTTGTGGAAGTTGAACCCTGGTCCTCTAGAAATGCAGCCAGTGTTATTAGGCACCGAGCCACCTCTCCAGCCCCAAGGCTAGTTTTTAGACTATTTGCAGATAATCCAGGGGCTGCTATTAATTACTTTCTTATTGTGACTACCCAGGAAGAAGCAACTTCAGGGAGGGAGGATTTAGTTGGCTTGAGAGAGTCAAGTTCATTATGGCTGAGAAGCATGGTGGAGGAAGCTTGGCGCTGCGCTGGAGATTTGGTGGAGGATTGCCAGAGGAGTGATGGAGTATTTGTGATGGGGTGATAGAAGGGGGTTGGCGGAGAGGGCTTGGTGGAGGAGATACGGTGCAAGGTTCATGCTGGAATGATAGAGGAGGCTTGGTGGAGGAGGAGTGATGGAGGAGACATGGAGGAAGAGTCTTGGTAGAGTGATAGAGGAGTGTGGGGGCCCACCCCCTTTCTTCCCCAGGGTACTCTTGAAGAGTGGGGAATAAGAGATTTAGATAGAAATATAGAAGGGAGAGAGATGCAGAAACACAGCATAGCCCCTCCAGGCCCCCCTCCATCTCATACCTCCTCTATCACTCTACTAAGATTCTTCCTCCATGTCTCCTCCACTAAGCCTCCTCCATTACTCCACCATGAATCTTTCACCATGTCTCCTCCATCACTCCTGGACCCTTCTGTCTCTTCTAAAGGGCTTTTTAAAGAAATGCCCGGGGGTGGAGCAAAAGACCTCCCCCTAGCACAGCCAAGTGCAGACCCTTCCAAACACCTGGTGACCACACACGTGGTCAGTCCATCCCCTTATGCAGTCCTGCTGGGTAAAGCAAATTCAGATCTGACTAGGAAACCTCTGTGGGCTCCATATAGAGGAGACATGGAGGATTCACGGGGGAGTGATGGAGAAAAGGTGTGGGGTGGAGGAGGCATGGTGGAGGATTCATGGTAGGGTGATGGAGGAGGTAGGGGTGGAGGAGGTGTGGTGAAGGAGACTTGGAGGAGGAGGCATGGTGGAGGAGTCTCTGTTAGCGACAGCAAGAGCTTGTGGTGCTGCTGGTTCACACTTCTGTGGACCAGGAAGTAGAGAGCCTGGGCTGAAAAGTAGCTAAGCCATAGCCAACCAAGCCCACACTCCAGTGATCCCTCCCCCCTTTTTTTCAGGGAAGTAGCCTCCTAAAGCTTCCATAATCTCTCAAACACCACCACCAACTGGGGACCCAGTGTTTAAACACATGAACCGGGCGGGGGAGAATTCGCATTCTAACCATCACGTGAGCAAAGTTTTTTTGTGTCATTTCACACAGGTTGAGACATGTTCACTCTATGCTCTCTGGACTACACTGTTGACCTGTTTAGATGGTCACTGCTCAGTCAGATAGTGTGAGCTGCATGTGGAGAAAGCTGGGACATTGCTATGTATTGCTTAGCGACGAGACATTCTAAGAACTGAATTGTTAGATGATTCTGCCACCGTGGGAACATCACTGAATACATTGACAAAGATCCTAAAGGTATAGCTCAGCCACTCAGGGTGATCTATTGATGCCATCCAGAGATGTGGTGAACATGGGGTGAAGCCCACTGCAGCTGGCAAAGTGTATATTACACTATGGCAAAGTGTAATATAGTGAAATTTATTTTCTAAGTAGAGGGAGTCCACTCCAAAACAATGGTAATAGGGCTGGAGAGATGGCTCAGCTGTTAAGAGCATGCACCACATCTAGCCGAACATATGAGTTTGGTTCCCAACATCTATAACAGGCAGCCCACAATGACCTGTAACTCCAGGAGATCTGATACCCTCTTCTAGACTCAATGGGTATCCGCACTCATACAAGCAAATACCAACCCCTACTACACACATATAAACAGAAGTAAGTCTTTGGGAAAAAAAATCACTCCAAACATTGCTGAGATGTGTAACAGTTAATGTGCAACCTGGTATCACTGCCATTTATTATCAAGTATCAGGTACTAACACAGAACTGTGTGTGCTATGCTGTCTGCAACAAAGATTCCATTAGGTTTGTTTACAATAACACCAGCACAAACATGGAAGAAAGCATTCACTGCATCACAGCATCACTAGGTGAGAGGAAATTGTCACCTCCATTACAACCCACGGAGACACTGTTGTAAATGAGATCCATTGCCAACTGAAATGTTACATTACACAGCATGTGTGCCTGGTTTATGTATATAGGAGCTAAGGTAGGCTGTAAAAGCGTGGGTGTGGCTCATACACTTGCATCTTGTCTGGAAAGATTATAGTCTTGTTCATTTCATAACCGGCAATGAGGGACAGAAACAAGACGACACTAATCACTCCTCTGGCATACAGAGTAAAGTGACCTTCCCCCTCACCATTAAAATCTCCCTCAATCCACACCCCAGTTGCTGGACCAACTTCCAGGCTTTTGTCTTTTGATCCTTCTTTTACAGATAGCTTTCTGGGCCTGCCTCAAATCCCAGCCCTCCATCCCACATAGGATGTCTGCTTCAAGGTAAAGAACAAACATTTTCAAGTGAAGCATCAAAAACTCGGTTTCCTTGGTAACTTGGTCAGGGAAAGAGAATTTATAGTGCTCAGAACAGTGGTGGAGAGCAGGCATACGCAGTCTCCTCCTCACTCCTAAGGCTTTCTCTGCAATACAAGACAGTGTCCCAAGCTGCTCCGTGGAGCTACACATTTAAAGTGAAATGGAAAGTGAAATGTGCCGCTAAGTTTAGCTCTCCCACTGAAATCCTTGGGAGATTATTAGTTCCTTCTGGCAATATCAGGCCCCTTCTTTTCCCACACCTATCAAATGGCCTTGAAGTTTTCCTTCATTTGGAATATTGTACAGCAAATGCACACAGTGTGCTAATGGGCTGCGTGGATTAATGGAGCAAATAGTTGCTTAAATTTAATTTAAAAGTAGTTCAGATAAAGACTCAGAGAATTAGTGCTGGGGTTAAGGATGAAATCTAGAGCTCCGTCTGACTAGAGGGGAGAGAGTATGGAGGAGGGGTGCCTGCCTCTCAAGCCCTCCGCAGGTACAGATTCTGTTTGGTGCCTTTGGGTAGCCAAAGGGAATTCTGACGTAAGCACTGTATGTAGGTATTGGCTGCTCAGAACTAATGCTCTTTCATTACAAAAGAAGAAACCTTCCCTTAAAGCCATACCATCAGTCTAGAAAATAGCATCAAATTGGATCTTTACTAGACCCTTATGGGGATTTCAGTGTCCCAGATGTGTGTCCTTATTAACTTCTTTTAAAAAAAAATGACACTCTGTAATGAATTCTTAATCCTAATCAGTCATTGTATCCAGCTCTATGTTACAAAAATCATATACTTGAGCAGTCTTAATGGATATAGCATTTGTTGGATTTAGTAAGAATAGACGTTTAGTAAAATATTCCTAAAGGAGTTAGGCAGCCTGATGTTCTATTCCATCATTCCATCCTATGCTATCACAGCTAGATGATGGGGCTTCCCTTAGTAGTTATTTCAGTTCTTTTCCTGTTTTGTTTCTCTTAGGCCTCCTTGATATTCATGTTGAAATAAGATTGATTGTCCCATAATAGAAATACACATTTCTATTACAGTGCTTCACCACAGTAATCAACAATTAGCTGATCGATCATTGGAGGATCTCTCTGTGATGTTTAGATAAAGAGAATGTAAGTCTGGATATAATTCAGCTTTGGAATGTGAACCTTAGATTCCAGAAAAGTAATGTGACTTGGGTTTTGTGTTAGGCCCAACCAGAGAGACAAAAGCCATAGGTGATGTAAGCAGCTGAATGAGAGATTGTCAGGAACTGGCTCATGGCTATGGCTGCCTTGAATTCCCAGTAACAGATCATATGCAAGGGGGAAGCCCTGGGATGCTAGTAGGATGATTTAGTTCAAGTTTAGAAGACTCTAAACCAGCCAATGATGGAACTCTGAGTTTGAGGCCAAAAGCCTGGGAATCTGGGGAGGAGCCACAGATACTGTTAGGGTTCAAAGGCTGGTGATCTGGAGTTCTGATGTCCTAGGGAGGAGACATGTGAACATCCCTCCGCCCTTCCTTTCTCCAGCTCTCAGTTTCCTTCACTATTTGTACCCCTGAGAACTCTGGTATATTGGATGCTGCTGTTCCCATTTAGGGTGGAATTTCTCCATCTAGTCCACCAGACTCCCATGCAACCTCTTATAAAAATACAATCATAGACAAACCCAAATAATGAGTAGTGGTTCTCAGCCTATGGGCAGCGACCCTTTTGGGGGTTATATCAGATTTCCTGCATATCAGATATTTACATTATAATTCATAACAGTAGCAAAATTACAGTTATGAAGTAGCAACAAAATAATTTTATGGTTGGGGGTCACCACAACATGAGGAACTGTATTAAAGGGTTGCAGCATTAGGAAGGATGAGAAGTGCTGCTGTGGAGTGATCTCACCCTTCTGTTTCAACAGAATCCATCATTGCTTTGGATCCCTTCATCTCAGAAGAGATCAGGAGCAGGACTATGAGCAGATAAGAACTAGTGGAGGGAGGAGCCCACTTGTTCCAGGCAGGAGGTTGTTCAGTTTTGGAAATCCAGTGTCTGGAGTGGAGCCTGGCACACAGTAGGTACTCACAAAATGTTTGCTAAATGGAGAAACGAGTGAAGGATGTGAAAATCAGCTAAACACACAGCTTCCACTTGAGTCCTATAAAAGACAATCATTTCAACTAGGCAAGTCTCAAAGAAGTCATAGGTGATTCCCTGTGGTGGCAGGAACCACAGATAACTACTACTTCTGTTGTGATAAAGATTTGGAATAAAGAGAAAACTAATTGATCATTTTTTTTGGTATCTGTGGTTCTTTAATAGCCAATAACCACTATGAAACAATGTCCAGCAGTCACTAGCAAATCTCGTCAGCTCATTTACTGATCTGTCACTCTTCCTCACTCTTTCTACCTAGCTTCGTCTCCATCTCATCTCTCTCTTGTTTTTGTGAGACTCGATCATAGGATGTTGTCCAGGCTAGCCTGGAACTCAGGATCCTGACAAGCCTGTGCTACCACAACTGCCTTACCAAATTCATCCTAAAGAAGGCCTTGGCAGTTTCCTATCTTGTCAACCTTTCCCAGAGTGCTGCTGTTCAAGATTGAAAAACTAAACAAAGACTTCAAGTAGAGCTGACTATATTTTTAGTGCAGTTAGTGGAACTTTTAAAATTAAAGTTTTGCTTTCAGGTTGGGTGTGGCAGCACAGGCCTATATCACAGTACCTGGGAGATGTTAACACAGGAATATTTATTTATCTATACATTTGTTTATCTGTGGTATATGCATGTGTATAGGAGGTGCACTGGCTGATGAATGTATTGGTTAATGTTAATGTTAATGTTGTCTCTTCAATTGCTTCCAGTTGATTTTTATTTTTATTTTAGATCAGATCTCTCATGGAATCTGGCGATCACTGTTTTGGCTAAACTGCACTTTTGGTATTAAATGCAAGAACTCTTGGCACGGCCCTCCGTGTCAGAGGTTTTCTCTTAACTTTAGTTTTACATTTTCCATTTCAGTTCAATTTCCATTCCTGTGCTAACATTCATAGCAGGTGAGACTTAAGTCTGGATTCATTTTAGTTGCAGGTGGACATCCAGCTGCTTTAGCACCCTTTGCTGAAAAGGTGTCTTCCCTCCATTGAATGGCTTTTGCACCTTTGTCAAAAGTCAATTGCATGTGCTTGTGTGAGTCTATTTTGGGCTCTCTGTTCTGATCCATTGATCCGTGTGTCTGGGAATGGACTTCTTTGCCTTCTTGCTGATCTTAGCAGGAAAGTATTCAGTGTCCCACAATCAAGTACAACATCAGCTGAATGCTTTCGGTGGCTGCTCTTTATCAAGTTGAAGACATTTCTCTCCATTTCTAGCTATCTTCAGAGACTCCTTTTGAAAATCAAGACTCGGCCCTCACTTCAGCCAGATACTTTTCTACATCAATTGTAATTTTTCTTTCCATGTAATTTTTCTCTTCTTGGATCTGATCATATAATTGGTTGTAATGAGTCAGTCTTTTCTCTCTTGAATAAACAACTCAACTTACTCATGACATAGAACTATTTTTAAATTATTGAAATCTATTTGTTAGTATTTGCTATGTAGTTTGGCATAACTATCTATGACGAACATTGGTTTATAGGGTTTTAAAATTGTTTGTCTGGTTTTAATATAGTGCTAGGTTCATAAAATGTCTTGGGAGGAGTTTCATCCTCATATTTTCTAGAAAACATTTCAAGTTGAATTCATGTTAATTCTTATTTTTTAAGTTTTTACTATTAAGAACTTTTCTATTTATTTTACATACCAACCACAAATCCACCTCTCTTCCCTCCTCCTACCCCCCTGTATTCCCCCGCCACACACACCAAGGCAAGGTCTCCCATGGGGAGTCAGCAGAGCCTGGTACATTCAGCTGAGGCAGGTCCAAGCCCCTCCCCACTGCACCAAGGCTGTGCAAGGTGTCCCACCATAGGCACTGGGTTCAAAAAAGCCGGCTGATACACCAGGGATGGATCCTGATCTCACTGCCTGGGGGCCCCCTAAACAGTTCAAGCTAAACAACTGTCTCACCTATGCAGAGGGCATAGTTCAGTGCCACGGGGGCTCCACGGCTATTGGTCCACAGTTTATAGAATTCATGCTAATTCTTTAAAAGCTTTTTAAAAAAATTTAATTTTATTTTATTTTACAATATAATTTAATTCTACATATCAGCCATGGATTCCCTTGTTCTCCCCCCTCTTGCCCCCTTCCCTTTCCCCCAGCCCACCCCTCATTCCCATCTCCTCCAGGGCAAAGACTCCCCGAGGATTGAGATCAACCTGGTAGACTCAGTCCAGGCAGGTCCAGTCCCCTCCTCCCAGGCTGAGGCAAGCGTCTCTGCATAAGACCCAGGTTTCAAACAGCCAACTCATGCACTGAGCACAGGACTGGGTCCCACTGCCTGGATGCCTCCCAAACTGAACAAGCCAATCAACTGTCTCACCTTTTCAGAGGGCCTGATCCAGTTGGGGGCCCCTCAGCCATTGGTTCATAGTTCATGTGTTTCCATTCGTTTGGCTATTTGTCCCTGTGCTTTATCCAACCTTGGTCTCAACAATTCTCGCTCATATAAACCCTCCGTTTTCTCGCCAATTGGACTCCCGGAGCTCCACCCGGGACCCGGAGCCTGGCCATGGATCTCTGCATCCAGTTCCCTCAGTCATTGGATGGGGTTTCTAGCACAACAATTAGGGTGTTTGGCCATCCTATCATCAGAGTAGGTCAGTTCGGACTGTCTCTCGACCATTGCCAGCAGTCTATTGTGGGGGCATCTTTGTGGATTTCTGTGGGCCTCTAGCATTTTAAAAGCTTTTGATGGGCTGGGCGTTGGTGGCGCACACCTTTAATCCCAGCACTCGGGAGGCAAAGCCAGGCGGATCACTGTGAGTTCGAGGCCAGCCTGGGCTACCAAGTGAGGTCTGGAAAGGTGCAAAGCTACACAGAGAAACCCTGTCTCGAAAAAAATCAACCAAAAAAAAAAGCTTTTGATGGATTTAGCATTTGAGTATTGATTTAGTCTTGGTGACTGATGGTCTTTATTCCTATACCTATGTTAGTTTTTTTCATTCCAGTTGTTTTAATGAGGAGCAATGATGTCTCCATGCATAATGCAGACTTGTTGATATCTCTTCTCCATTCTTCCAGTTTTATTTTTTCATATTTTGTGACTTGCAGGTCCTTCAGCCAGAACCCATTGTTTTTTATACTGGAACCTTGTTGGTGTGGTAAGGGAGAGGAGAAGCCTTCAATGACAATACCAAATCATAGTTAATGATGAGTATAGGCCTTCCGCTTGGCTTTTACATGTTGTTTTCAGCTCCCTATACTTTGGTGACACAGGGAGATGATCAGGGCTGGGATTCTCTGATGGGTGTAAGAATCATGCAGAGCAGTTAGCAAAAGCCTCTGTCCCTTTCTTGGATGGAAAGGATTTAGTTGGGGCTGTTTTGCTTTTATTTTATTGTACCCATTGACATTTCCAGACTGCTAACATCTTCAGCAATAAATATGAATTGAAGAGAAAGAAAACAGATTCATTAAACTCACCTCTGTGTCATTCTGTGGATCCCCAGGCCTCCCAGTGTTCTTCAGTGTCTTTTTATGATTGATTCATATACAACATATGGAATACTTAGCTTTATCTAACAGAAAGAATGTGCCATGTATGTCCATCCCGTGTTCCCAAGTAGACATTCTCTCGGTTTTACATTTTGTAAAGACTAGATGTCCACTGTAGCTGAAAGTAAATGTGACATCTCCTTGGGCACTGTATTATTATTTAGTCTATTTAGAAAACTGAAATGTTCAAAGCTGTTATCACTTATGGCCACCACTGTCCTCTTAACTGACCTGTTGTTTATCAAAATAGTGTTGTCTCTTAAAGTGAGATATGCACATATTATACAGTGATTCTTTAGGCCCCAAGGTGACATCCAAGTTATCTCAAAGTAGACTATTTTCCCTCTAGAAGTTGATGATACTATATATAATTTCTATCTAATTGTATTTCACAATGTATCTGTAAGTAAATCTGGAGAAACATTTGTACAATGGGCATCTTTGGGACATCAAGGAATAAGGAAATACACACACTATCTGGAGAAGGTAGCGCCAGATCATGTTGTGTAGGCAGTATTAGGACCATCCTAGCATATGGTGGACACTCAGGAAATATCTGTGAGTGTGTAAATGAATAAATAAAGACAGCTTTGGGAGTGTGATGAAGACAACTTTCCTTCTGAAATAAAAAGTTGTGGCTAAGGCACATCAATGAAAACGGCAGGACTCTTATGGGAATTAGTAGTTATGTATAGGTATTTTATATACTCACACCTGAAAGTCGCTTTGGCTTATAAATTTTACCATATCTTTGTCTACAACTACTTACATTGAGATTCTAGAGGGACTTTTTTTTTTAAATCAAAGAGTCTTTTTATTGTAAGATCATCCAAAGCTCGAGAATATCAATCATGAAGTTATTGTACTTCAGCTCACTGTACAGACTAGATAATGGTTAAGACTCCTACACACTGAGGATTCATTCTTTCAAAAGCCATTCAAGGACATTACCATTTTCTGCTCTATTTTTAGATACACAATGACCCCTCTCTTGTTTACAGCTTCCCTGGCCTTGGGACAAAGTATTCTTCAATGGCAGAGGCCTTTGTAGCTAATAATCACATGAGCCCTGTAAAGTTAGCCCAAGTGATGGGCAGACAGGAAACAGGGAGGCAGGCTATGTCCTAGCTCTGCAGTCCGTCTCTTGGTCCAGCAATGGCAAACGGCCTAAGCCACCTCCCTTCTCTACCAGCAGTCACAGCTGCTTTCACCAGTTACCCGTATACAGGCCACATAAAAGAAGCTGTTCCGTTCCATGCAGATTCTTAGTTTGGTAAAGTGTATCCTTTTCCATAGGATAAACATTCCAATACTGGTAAAAACAAATGAGGTCACAAATTACAGTCCCCCAAAAGTTTAAGGTAGTTTGAGCCAGAGCCAAATAGCCAAATCAAATAATGGAACAAAAAAGGAAAAAAGAAAAAGAAAAAAATAAGAGACATAATAAGAGTATGGGGAACTCTTACTTGTATTAGAGGGGCCACACAGAAAGGACAAAGTTTTCAAGAGGGATAAATCTCCAACATGGTACCTGTCACAGCCTTGCACTAAATCACAATTTATAGCATGGCTTTTGTGAATACA